ACATGAAGTATTTTCTCCGTCATCCCGGCTGGTGATGGCGAGAGCCGGGGAACCTGGCCCCTGAAAAATTTTCGCTTGGTTCTGTGCTACTTTAATAATAAAAACGTGCACAGTCCTGGATCCCAAGCCCTGGGGTTCTTTCGCCAGCTCTGTGGACATCTGGCCTCCTCGCTCTGCCGTCATGCTGTGGAACAGAGGCCGGTTCCCTCCACAGGGTGTCACCATCGTGGCCTCCCACCTGTCCTGTCTGTCACCCCCGCTGCCAGCATGTTCACGCACGTCTCCCCCACCCAGCCTTGCTCGCTTCGGGCCACTGGCCGTGTGACATCTCATGCTCTCCTGCCTCCCGTTCCCGCCCCCCGTGTCGTTTGTGAAATTATTCTCTGCTTGACACACGCACTTAAATGCCCGCACAGAAAGGCTCGGATGCACCTGTCACACTCTGTCCTTTCAGAAGCTCCAGGGTCCTGTTGGTTTCCCCACTTGGCATCTGTTGGTTCCAGCTCCAAGGTGTCTGCTGCTGCCTTTATGCCAAGATTTCTTCTCTTGGGAATCCCCGTCTCAGCAGCCGTTCAATGCCCCAAGGATATAAAAGTCTTGGTTTTGTTTGGCTTCGCTGTGCTTTGTTGTTCAGCTCAGCCTGGAATGGACGTAAAACGCAGGGTGGAATTTCTCCCTGAGTTTCTCGTGGGTCAAAGGCAAACCCGCTTCACAAACAGAAGCGCCGTGAGAAGCGCGGTGGCCGTGATAGACTCGTGTCCGTCACAGTCTTCCGACATGTGTGGTGTCCCTGAGGCCATCTCACACCAGTCTCTAGGGGGGAAACAAAACACCTGCCTTTACCATGAACGAATATTAGTATTCCAAGAACATTTCTAAAAATAATCCTAAAATGATGCCACGCAAAATTCTTTCTAAACTTTGACATGATTGCTGTTTCTGTAGGTAAACATGCAAAGAACCCTAAGAAATACTAGCTCTGCCAAAAGGTGAACTTTTTATGTATGTCCTCTGCAGGTTTTTGAATTTTTCATTAAAGAAAAGTAGACTTTTTATATTATACCAAAGTTCAATATCTGGAAACTACAAGAAGTTGTTACAGTTATGTTCTTTTTGTTATCAGATAATTGACCCAAAACAAATTTTCCCTTATAGATGTTTGTTTTCATCCACAGAGTAGCTTTTTCTCTGTAAATACTGTCTCCTTTTTGGTGGGGAGGCCGAACAGAAGGGAAGGCCTGGTTCTGGTTCAAGTTTCTCGCTGAGTGTTCTGGGTGCACACGCGTTCAGGCGAGTGGGGTGGCTCGTCATCCGGTTTCAGATGTTAACGCAGTGGTCCCGCTGGTTCGTTTAAGTCTAACTCGTGGAAATGGACGCTTCAGGTGTATGAACTCCCCACGCCAGGCCCCTTTCTTGGCAGACACAGTTCTCTAAATCCCCATACAAAAATGGGATTTGTTTAATTTTTTTTTTTTTCAAGTAAAACCAAAACATCCTAAACTTCATTTATTTTTTTTTTAGGCGAGGCAACCTTTGGTTGACCTCACAGATTGCAAGGACCTTGTCAGCTTACAATCCCTTATTTTTTATTTTATTTTTATTTATTTTTTATTTTTTTATGCCTATAGCACCTGGTCTTCCTAGGTGGTCTCCCATCCAAGTACTACCCAGGCCCGACCCTGCTTAGCTTCTGAGATCAGATGGGCTCGGGCTTGTTCAGGGTGGCGTGGCCGTAGACCCAAAATGTCCTAAACTTCAGAAGGGGAATGAGATAGAGAAGGGAGTCTTTTATTTCTTACCATTAATATAAGGAAATTTTATGTAAATAATTAAATACAGTATTTATAAGTTCTAGATGGTTTTTTCCCCATGTGACTCATTCACTACCTCTTAAAGTATCTTTTCCAAATTTGATAGAAGTTTGAGGCCTATCATTGCCTTTAAATTCAGTTTAAAATGCGTTTTTCATTTATTCTTTTTATTTACCTCCAGAGGAAAGTTCAGCTTTGCGAGATGCCTCTGTAGTGGGCAGGGCCGTAGAATGGCGTTGAGATTTCATGAACTCGGAGGCTTTTGCTATTTGCGGGACTGACTGGCGCTGAGTGCTCAGTGCAAGACTGCACGCCAGACGACCGAACGCAGGGCGTGGCATGGCGTGACGCGGTGGTTACTTACCACGACGGGCACCCCCAGGCCTCCTCCCTGCGCCCAGCACGGGTGCCGCCCTCGGCCGCCCGCCGTCCTTTGACTGACGCTGCCGTCGCGGCTCGGGCCAGGCGCGTGGCTCGTAGCCAATGCCGCTGCGTTTTCGTTCCAGGCACAGAAGGACCTGAAGAAGGACCGGCCCCTGATCCGCCGCAAGTCCGAGCTGCCTCAGGAGCCCCACACCAAGAACGCCTTGGAGGCTCACTGCAGAGCCGACTCGCTGCTGCCCCAGGACGGCCGCTAGCCCCGCCGCCTCGGCCCGCCGCCGGCTCCTTCTGGATTCTGTAGAAAACACGCCCTTTTCGTGCCATACAAATCAGTTACACTCAGAGTCAGAGCTCCCCTCGCCCCCGCCCCGTAGGCAACACGCACTTCCGCCTCAGCTCGAGATTAGGAGTTCAAACAATGGTGACCCCCAGACCGCGGCCGGGCTCGGGGCCCCGACGGCGTCCCCGCCACCTCGTCGCGACCCCGGCACAGGCCCCGATCAGACAGTTTCCCAAAATCAGAGCTAAGCAGAGCACCCTGGTCGTCACCCTCACGTCCCACCCAAACGGAACCTGCGATCATTTCACATAGGAGGTTCTAGGGTCACGTCAAGGTTTTCAAATCAGAGGAACACTCAGAAAGTGTCGCACGTCGTTTGAGACGTCGCAGCCTTTGAGAGTGTTTCTGCGTGATTGTTAGGCCAGCAGTTTCTTTCCTCCTGTGTTTTTCTGAATCTCGCTGACAGGGTTCTTTGCTGTCCTTGTTCTAACACGACTTCCTGGGAAAGGTGACCTGACAATCCTCAACCGCTGTTTTTTCCTGAAGCTTTTCTTTGACGACATGCAGACCATGTCCGACCGCTGTGTCTGTAAAGCCATATTTCCCCTCCGCGCCCCCAAGCCCAGAACCCCAGGAGTGAGGTCGCGGAGAATTTTACTTTAAAAAAGAGCTTTCTCTGTCTACCTTGACCGGAATTGGCATTTTGAAGTAACGCGTTCAGTTTCTGGTTCGCAGGATTTTTTTTCTCTACTAACAAACACATCATTGCCCTTTAACAAGGCACTCGAATTCGTCGCATTAGAGTCTCTAAGAACGCCACACGGGAGGGAGCTAGAATAAGGGCCTTCCGAGTCACGCCACTTCTCGGCCTCGTGCAGGCTGCAGCCGCCTTTGGCCAAACGCAGCGAAAATGACACCGCGCGTGCCGGGCAGTGGCGTGGCCTCCGCTTGCTGCCGTGACGTGGTTCTCAGCTCAGAGGAGGCAGCAGTGAGGACGGCTTCACATGAGTCTTTTTTTACGCTGAAAAGAGCACGCGTTCCAAACACCCGCACGGGGGTGCGGTGTGTGGGTTTTCATCGAGCGCTGCTGTCTATTCTGCAGGCTTCCTTGCATGTACTGAGCTTTTCGGTTTTGATGGCGTAGCACGAGGAGAAAATTCCTTACACGTTAGTGCCGTGTCTGTCCTTCATTTCTCTCAGGGTGGCCAGCATCTTGACTTACTCATCCTGCTTGAAAGCTCTTCGAGATGTGTGCTGCTGTTCTAACAAGTGATTCTAGTTTCTTTTTGTCTCCGGCATAAGATTTTATAACTCGATGTTAAATGTCTGGATGCATAAGAGATAATGTGGCTTCTTTTAGGATCTGTTTCTCAATCAAGGTCTCGGGTACCCACTCAGACGTTGTGGAAAGCAGACACCGTTCCCTGTGCAGCTGTGGTGCCTGCCGCTGTTCATCGCTTCCACTGAAATCCACTGAGTGTTTATTTCCTGTGTCTTGGAAGAAAAATCATTTGGGGGAGAGGGAACTCCTTGTGCAAAGAGCAAGTACGAAATTCAGAGATTGCCCCAGCCGGAAGCGAGAAGCCCACCTCGTGAGCGGAAACACTTCCTGAGAAACTTGACAAGTCTCTATCCATTTTACCATTATGAAACTTATAATTTTAAAAAAGTTTAGATGCCTTCTCCTTTTGAGGGAAAAAGGGTGCTTTTTATTGTATAAAGCAGCGTCTTACGTATTTTGATATACCATTGTTTGAACTTCCGTCTTTAGCTGATAGACGCTCAGATATCCTTGATTCTGGATGCTCCGTGTGTTTGTGAGAGAGCTTTCTGGAAGACTCTCTTTTTGCCCTAGGGAAAAAGCAAAATATCAGTGTCCGGGTGATTGTGTAAAAGCTCAACGTATAAGAACATCTTTTTGTCTAGGTTTTATTTCTGCTCTTTATTGAAGACAAACATTCACCAAAAGGGGGGGGGGGAAAGTTATGAGAGAAACTAATTTTCTTTGACAAGAGTATTATTTAATATTTTGGCCTATTAAAGTTTTCCTAGTTAGTACTCAGATTCCCTGTGCTAATTGTTCAACTTATATATTATTATATAGATACATTGTTTATTCTGTACCAAAATGGTTTCAAAATTACTACATTGACAATAAACTGGTGACTGTTTTTCTTCATAAAGCTGTGGCATTTGGCA